AAAAGTTGACTGAATTCAAAAATAAACACAAGCTTCCATGAATAAACCAAAAAAATAATAAAAAAAAACCTGCATCAACCATATCTTAGTCATTATCAAATAATTTCAAGGACAAAGTCATCTTATCTAGACAAAATTAAGAGATAGAGACAGAGATATTAGTTTTGGTGATATGAAAGTTTGGCATAAGAATGGAGAAGCAAAATTAGGAATTTGTTGGTAAATGCAATCTATTCCTTACAAAATATTTTTGTAAATCCATACCTTAAGTTTAATATGTATAACATTTTTTAATCTAGAACCATACCTAATTGTAACTTTCTTGGACATTAGCTTCATTATTTTTTGTAATAACAACACATTTTTAGCCAAATTAGAGATAAAATTTATTATAGTTGTTGGTCTAATTATTAGCCCATTAAAACAATATTGTGGGTTTCCTTAATTAGATATTTAATTTCTTTTTTATAAAAATGTCGTAAGTCGCATTATAAAAATAGACAAAAAAAAAATAACGGCTATTAAGGCAGGTTAAATATCATTTTTTAAAAGTAATTATATGAATTAATTAATTTAATCTCTAAATTCATTAGATATCATGGATGCATTATAAGATAAGATATCTTTGTCTCCCACTTATTTTTGTTTATAAACTCTTGGCTATTTTATCTTTTTCAAAGTCAAGATAGTCTTTTAACCTAAAAAAGCAATGACATACACCAATAATGTTATCTCCAATTCAAATTCTATCTGTCAATTGAATTGGATTTCTGTTCTATCAATTCTTTTACAATCATGTGGTCCAGCATCCATTCTTCATCATCAATCTAGTACCAATGAATATCAGTCCCAGAACTTCTTTTAAACTCTTATTTGATTTTTCATTTGAAAGACTGCTCAACCACTTCAAAACGAGTTGGAAACAAGTATATATATAAATATAAATATAAATATAAATATAAATATAAATATAAATATAAATAAATATATATCTTTAGTTCTAAAATATTTGTCACCTTTTATGACTATTTTAAAGAAATGAAACTTTTGAAGGAAATTAAATAAGAGGAAAAAATAAAGAAAAGACAACAAATAAATAAATACTCCAATCCTTTTTATTATTAATCTTCAATTCATTTTACAACATTTTGTGGTCCAAGAGATAAAATAGATATTTTGTCTCAAAGTATGAATTATTAACAAAACATAAATAATTTAATTAATTTGAGTTGAGTTGGCGTATCGAATTGATTTGAAATTTTAAATTTACGTCAATTTGATCATCTCAATTGAACATATGATATTATATAAAGATGTTGACTTATCATCTTCTAATTGGATCGTTAATTGTTAGCTTAGTTTAAATTGACACCTTACCCTTAACCTATTATTTGAAGCTCAAATTATCTAAGTCCAACACTTTTATCATAATATAATTAATCTTTGGTAGGTACTATTAAATTAATTCAACTTTCATCTTTTTTTATAACAACTTTCATATCTTATTTTTATCTCGAATATTGATTATTAATATCGAAATATAAACATCAAAAAAATTTTAATCTTTATTATTAACCGACCTTCCTTTTTTATAATTTAAAATTTTTACCGTCAACAAAATAGCTCAATGTCAACATCTGACATTGTATATACAATATGCATATTTTATAAACAAATCTTTAGATTTAAAACCTCATTTTTAGACAAATATTTAATACATGTTACATTATATTTAGGGTATAAAAGTGCATACGATATTTTCTCAGAGGAATGTTTATATAGGATAATGGAGTGAAATTAATGGACGAAAGGGTCCATCACTCAATGTATAATTCAATATTAATTATATAAAAAAGAACATATAATATTAAGTGAATGGGATAAATACATTAAGGCTTCTTATTTAATTACTTATCTTAATTGCTTGTTCTATCATTTAATTAAAAAAATTTATCATATACATTAATAATAAATTTTTTATTTTCATAATAAAAAAATGACACACATTCTTTAATATAATTTAAAAAATACATATATCAATATTTTAATTTTATTTATAAAATTAAAAAAAAATTATGTCAATATATCAAATAATATATTTAAAAGAGCATTAAACGTCAACGTCCAGAATTTGCCAGTCATTTCCACATGAAAAGGGTTGTGGATAAGGTTGTACGAATATGAAATGTTTGATATCTTACACGCACACTTCTTCTTCATTGGTGGGCAGTCACCTTGCACACGTGTTAAAAGGATGAAAATTCTTTAAATAAAAATCATTTTTAACTTATGCATTTGTTTTTTTTCTTTTTCCAGCATGCAGCTTTCCATTATTGCCGTGGAAAACAAAAATATGAGTGATCAGCTAACCCCATGCATGGTTCCATCTTAAGCTTTTCTTGTAAGGCTTTGAACAATTGGTAATTTAAAATATCTGAATTAATTACCATGATAAAACCAATTAATTGTTGGAATATTCTTGATTCTCATTGGTATCTTAACCACAAATAGTCAAATAGTTTAGTTTAGTTTAGTTTAATTGTTTTTTTTGGTTCAATAAGTCCAATGGGTTGATTTAATTGGAATGAAATTTTAATATTAAATGCATGATTATGATATTAAATAAGTATTAAATATAATAATTTTTTTAAAAATGTGCATTTACTTTAATGATATAGTCTTTATTTTTTAAAAAAAGTTAAAATCTCGTCACCTACAAAAAAATTTTGAATAATAAAATAAATATTTATATTTGATGCATTATAAATGTATAAATTTTATATACTGTCAGTGAATATGATGCTATTATCTCATTAATGAAGTGAATCAGATGATACCATCTCATTAATGAATAAGTTTTTTGAAAAATATTAATTTTTTGTATATTTATTTTAAAAGTTGTATTTATTCATTAATGATGTGATATCGTCTGATTTACTGATAATATATAAAATTTATATACTAACAGTATATCAAATATAAACTTATAAAATAAACCCATTAACAAAACCCATTCTTATATGATGAATTTTGAGTTGTATTAATTTTATGAAATTGATACATTAAATATATAGTCGTCGTAGCTTAAATATCATCGTAATTAATTTCAAAAGGAATCTAGTAGTATTTATCTTATTAAAATGTAAATTGTAACTCCAATTTATTAGAAGTAATCTAACTCCATTAAACCTTATGACAAGGACTTAACTATCACATTCACAATTAAAGCTGAATATTTTTATTTAAGACAATTATTAATCACACATTTCAATTAAGTAGTCCCGTGTCAAAAATTAGATCACACTTTGTTTGTATGGTGTAGGAATCACATTGCACAAAATCCTTGGAACTAATCAGATCTTGTTATTATATTTAATTATCATTTAATGTTGCTAATAAGTATGTGGTGTGTGATAAAATGTTAAACTCTTTGATGATTAGATTTCAATGATTAAAGTTCAATTCTAACCATCACAAATTTAAAAATAATTGCTATTTGATATGATCTTAGTCAGTCCATACACCAATAGGGATCAGCCTCTAGATGTTGAAGTGATAAGAGTTTTAGCTTTTAAGCATTGGCCAATGGCCATTGAGAGGAGAGGGCCAAACTTTGATGAAACACTAATTGGTTGAAACTTGAAACACAACCAAATTATGATTCTTTTTCAAGGCTTTGAAAAACATTGCTGCAGCACAACAATGTCAACAGCAATTATGTCAGCCATGAAAACCTTTATATGTATAGCTAAAAATCTATTTCTTTCTTCTCTGATAACTTGTTTAGACGCGTGTTCTATGCTTTACCCATTAATTCTCTCAGCCAATAGCATATGTTCAAACTTGAACCTAACTATAAACCTGTCTCTATAAATAATTGTATGCTATATGGACTATTAATCTTTCTTTCAAAGCTAAAAAAACCCTAGAATATTATTGCATTACTTAGTCCTTTAGCAAGGTCCTGATTAAACAGCTTTAATTACCCCCTTCTTGTATACTTTCATTCTGGTGCATTGCCCTATATGTTTAGTTGAGTAGGTGATTCTCATGAGCAATAGGCTTTTTTGTATATTATTTGGACTCAAGGGTGAATGTTGGATACGAATATAAATGTATTCAATATGGGTACGTTCATTTATTTTTAAGTTTTTATATATAAATATATATTTATTTAGATGGTCAGACCTATACTTAGGTATCGAATTTGAGTACTTCAAAAAAATAAAGAGTTTGTGCAACACATATGTAACTTTTTTTTTTCTTGCTCCTGTTAGTAATAAGAGAGCAGGCCATGAAATAGGAAATTCACCATCACTTTTTCTATATTATTTTAGCTAGCTATATTGCAACATGGATGCTACTTCCTTTTATGGAAAAGTATAGCACTGCTTACACAATTGTCCTTAATTGGTCTCTTCTAAGTGATTGCCGTTTTCGAAACTTATACTTTCTTAATTATATATATGCCATGAAGACATGATGATTAGCAATGCATAAATCCCCATTTTTTTCTCAATCAATGAAAGAAGTTTTCTCTGCTAGGAAGGGGAACCAACGCAAATACATATAAATCCAACAATTGAAAAAACAAACCATAAAAAGAGGGCAAAGAGGAAAACAAAAGGCAAAAGAAAGACTAAGAATTAATAACAAAAAAAAAAAAAAAAAAACACAACAAATTAGCCTAAAAAAACATTAAAGCTACCACCTACCAACTGTGACAATATCAGTCCTGTCCACACCAAAGGGTCTAGGAAACAATTTACTTCTCTGAAGATATTGACAAAAAACCAAGGATGCAATAATCTGTTTTATTAACTTCTCAATTTCTTTGAAGAACTCCCACTTATCCCCTAGGTTGGTCATCCAGTGTCAAAGGAATATTGGCTTGATCATGGATGCTATTACCTTTAATTAGTTGACATTTCCTCCACTCCAATAGAACTTTCTTTAACATTTTTGCATATGAATTGCAGAAATGGAGTACTGTGGCTGTTGGTTCTCCTTGTAATTGTTTATGCTTGTCTGTTATCCCAAGGGAGATAAGGTGAATAGACACAAATTCATAAAATCTCTACCAGGTAATTGACATTAATAGTCTGTTCGTTAAGAAAAAAAGTAATACTCCATGTACATTTTCTGCTCAGGATTGAGAAGATAGGCAATATTCTCCAACTTCCTCTCCATCAATGGCTGTTGAACCTCCATTTTTCAAAAAATACAAGGCCATCTTCCAGAGCTCTGCTGATGATGAAAAGGAGAAATTTCCCATGGTTGAAGTCTTTGAGGAATTTGAACTACCTCTGATTGATCTCAGCCATTTGAATCTTGGACCATTTGAGAGACAAAAATTCATAGAACAGATAGCTGAAGCTGCTAGCGAATGGGGTTTCTTTCAAATTGTGAATCATGGGATTCCAGAAGAGCTTCTAGGCAGGTTGAAGCATGAGCAAATGAAGGTTTTTCAGCAGCCTTTCGACACGAAGGCTAACAAAAACTTTCTGAATTTATCAGCTCATACCTATCGTTGGGGTAACCCTCTTGCTACTAGCTTGAGTAACCTTTCTTGGTCAGAAGCTTTGCATATATCTGTCAAAGATATTTCGAAAATGGACGAATACTATAATCTCAGGTACTTAAATTATTTTATCTTTTACTTTTTTAGGCACCATAGTTAGACTTCATTGTCTTTACATGCAATATAACAAGGAACAACTTTTAGGCTATTGAAGCAAAAAGGTAAAAAAGGTTATATATACACATAGAATTAGTCATTCAACTTTGAGTTTACCCTTTTTTTTAGAAAAAAAAATTATTATGTAGGAATTTATGTACATTTCTATGCAAGAACAAGCAATGAATTTACAAAATTTATCGACTATATTCATCAATTGCTGAAGCTCTACATTTGGCCTTTTTTTTTTTTTTTTGCTAATTAAGAAGATGGTATTTGAGGAACAATTACTGTTTATAATTAGAATCTTCAAACTATAATAATAATAATATAAACAATATAAATTCATAGGAATTGATCAGTTTTGGACTTATTAGAGTTGAATTTGACTAAATACCATTCATAATTGTTGTTTGCTACTCCTAATTTGATCTATATATAGTCATAATTGGTCATTTATTGGTCAAACAGTTTTTGAGTATTGAGTAGAGAGATTAAGGTTCAAGTGGGACCTTTGGTTTCCAAAATAAAAACATGAAAACCCTTAAAAATGAGTATAGCTGCTCTTATTGGAGAGTAACAATGAACGTCATTTTGGAAGAAGTAGAGCTATTAATTTATAGTTCAAAGTTCTTATTTGCAGTGACATTATCATTAATTTCATGGTATAAATTTATAGTAGTTTAACTACTTGAATGGAACACAGGCCAAAAATTTCATTTTCAAACTCCTATGGCCAAATGTTGTACATTATTACATTACAGTCTCAAACCTTATCCTATATATCTTGTACGTAGTTGCTTGGCATATATAGTTGGCCTCATGCTACCACCTACCTGCCAAATATTTCGAAGGCCCACTGGTCGAGAGATATCTTGCAGCCGGCCATGGCCCTGCAGCTGTGCCTTCGCCACCAGACCACTGTCACTGTTGTCACTTGTCACCACTCCAATGTGCTAGTTAATTTTTAAGGCAGCATGCATGAGAAAACATTAGTGTTACTGCCTTCCTAGGCATGTGATTGATTGATAATCGAAAACTATGATTTTCTTTGTATAGACAAGATTAATGATACAATTATTGAAGACCCTTCATTTTTTTTTTTCAGGTCAACCATTGAAGAGTGTGCCGCAAAAGCTGATTTACTGGCTCAAAAATTGGCTGAATGTTTAGCACAAAATTTGGGTATTAAGCCAAATTATTTCCAAGAGAACTGCTCATCAAGCTCTAGTTTTCTTCGAATGAACAGATATCCTCCTTGTCCCCACTCTTCCATGATGCCTGGCTTTATCCCTCACACTGATACTGATTTCCTAACCATTGTGTCCCAAGACCAAGTAGGAGGATTGCAATTGAAGAGAGATGGAAGATGGGTTAGTGTTAAACCCAATCCACAAGCCCTAGTTATCAACATTGGTGACTTATTTCAGGTAATATATAGTAGTAATTACTAATTACTAATGACAATGACATCATATATCAAAGATTAACCCATTCTTAGTCTTTTATTTAATGTTTTAAACTTTTAAATATTACGAATTTGAGCATTCAATGATAAGTACATGTATAATTATAATAAAAAGTTGAGCTCGAATTCTATGTACTTCTTTCTTGCATTAATTTGTGTATTAATTCTTCCATTTCCATGTAATGCAGGCATTGAGCAATGGCATTTACAAGAGCATAACTCACCGAGTGGTTGCCAACAAAGAGGTTGAAAGGTACTCTGCGGCATATTTCTACTGCCCCACCTACGAAACTGTAATAGAAAGCTGCAGCAAGCCAGGTTTATACAGAAACTTTAGTTTCAAAGAGTATAGAGAACAAATCGAAAAGGATGTAAAAGCTACTGGAGACAAAGTAGGGCTTTCTCGGTTTCTTTTGTGAAGGGAAAATTCATTAGGCTGCTGCTGCTGCCATGACTGCTTAGCCACACAGTCCAATCTTATAGCACATGAAGCTTATTTGAAGTAATTTTACTTAAAGATTTTGTGGGATTTCAACAGGCTGTTGTCGTTTTGACTTTTTCTGCAACAAGAATAAAGTATATATGGATATAAATTATTTGAATGCTTTAACTAATTATTACCAAGAATCTCATTTGTACAGTTAATTGAAGCTTCAAACTATAAATTTGGTTAATTTCACATTGATTGTTTTTCAAATGTTTTTTTTTTTACAGATGAGATCATAGTTAGAGACAAGAGAAAGAATTATAAATGCTGAAATTTAAATCTCACACCTGTTAAATATTCCTTCTTTACGACAAAAGATTTTAAGATAGAGCACTGGTCACTCTTTATTAACACTATCCAAAATGAAAACCCTGTCTAAACAAGTGGTCACCCTTTACCATGCGTAATTTCTTATTATCTTGTCGTGGTAATTTCACTTTTGTGCATGCTGGCTGTCATAACAGTTAGATCCGAGGACTTATTATTAGATATTAACTTTAAGAGTCGTCATCAATCTTTTTTATCTAGGTGCGATTGGTCACTTAAGGAATCTATAACATTTAAGCTTAAAGGTTCCTAAAAGAATAGGTTCAGGTCTACTAACAGAATAGGCTTCGAGGAGTTCGGTTACATGTGATGAAGGTTGTAGCACTTCACAACGCCCATTAAAAGATAGTACTAGCTTAATTTTGTGTTATCCAATAAGCCTTAAAAATTTACCAAGTAATTAATTATTGAAACTTATTATCAATTGACTCTAATACTTTTAGCAGAAAATTGAAAAATTTCTCATCTTAAGAGTATACAAGCAAACTATGTTTCACTTGCAGAGGCTCTATCATCGGATTATTTAACATTAAAGAAAATTCAAGAAACAAAAAGAAAAAAAATAAAAAAATGATTCGGCTTTAGATATAAATCATTTTCTCTTCAGAAACTCATTGCTTTTGTACAAGAAAAATTGATACTTTTAACTTTTCTCCAAAAATATTTTTTAGAAAACTTATTTCTAAGAAAAATTGATACTTTCAACTTTTCCCCAAAAATATCTTTTAGAAAAACTTATTTTCAAGAAAATTAATATTTTCAACTTTTCCTCGAAAATATCTTTTAGAAATATTTTTTCGAAAACTTATTTCCAAGGAAAATTGATACTTTTAACTTTTCCTCAAAAATATTTTTTAGAAAACTTATTTTCAAGGAAAATTGATACTTTTAACTTTTTCTTAAAAATATTTTTTTAGAATTTTATTTAAAGAAAATCAAAATAAAAAAATAAAATAAAATAAGAAATACTAAATAATAATAATAATAATAAATATATATATAAATGTATAAATAAATAAATAACTTATGAACGGCTTGGCTCGACTGGAAAACGGCTTGGTTCGAGATAAAAAGAGCGGCTCGAAGACGCGGCTCGGGGACGTCGGCTCGGCTCTAGAGGTCGGCTAGCACTCTGGTCAACGCAGGTCAAACGCGGGTTAGCACTTGGGTCGGGTCGCCTGATTTCAAAACGCGCGGATCCTCTAATAATAGTAATACCAAAATGACGTCGTTTTCAGCAAGTATAAAAGGTTTTAACCTCAATTTTTTTCGCATACTGCTTTTTTTCTTATCTCTCATCTTCTCGTTTTTCTCTTCATTCTCTCTGAAAAAACCAAAAACTCCGGCTGAAACTCGTCGGATTCTAAAAAATATTATCAAAATTTGGGTTTTTCATCAAAAATTTGTAAAAAAGTTGGTCGATTTTTGGAAATAATACATCGAAAACTGGGTAACTAATCGAAAAATTCAATCGGTACCAAAAAAGTCACCAAAAAAATCAAATTTCACCAAAAAATTCATCAAAATCTGAAAATTTTCAGAAAAAATTCGCATAAAATCCTTCAAAATCTCTAAAAAACTCTTAAAATTGCTTATGATCCTTCTAAACGCCCTTTTTTCCTTTTTTTTTTTTACTCTCTCTTTCTCTATGTGTGTGTCCTGTTCTTTATGATTTCTGGATCTATTTATAGAGATTGATCAGAAGAGTTTCTAATCAATCCCAATTCCTTCTTGGATTGGAATTCAATCCTTGAATCCAATCTGGACTCTGATTGAATCTCAAATTCACAGTAGGATTCTAATTTTTTCATCCTAATCCCAACCGAAAAGATAAAATTAAAAAAATATATTAATAGATAAATAATAATATATGAATAGATAAATAATAATAAAAAAACATATATATATATATATATTAATAGATAAATAATAATATATGTTAATAGATAAATAATAATAATAAAAATAATAAAATAAAAAATATATATTAATAAATAATAAAATATATTAATAGATAAATAATTAAAAATTTTATATATTAATAAATAATAATAGTAATAATAGATAAATAAATAAAAAATAAAAATAAAAATAACAATACAAATGGGCTTACCCATTTGGACCAAGCCCATTGATCATGGCCTGGATCAAATTGGATATCTACAACTGCCCTTCTTTGCATATTTTTTATGAAACAAAAATTGCGCAAAGACGTAGACACTCATTCAAGACTCTACTCGACCTTTTTTTTTTTTTCACTTTTTCTCTTTTTTTGTGTTAAAATTTTGATCAAAGCTCCTCTAAGCAGAGGCTCAGAAAATAAATGGCTTTTCTAATTAGAGGCTCAACGACTTAAACAATAAACAAAATTTCTTTAAACAGAGGCTCAACGACTTTGAAAAATAAATTGCTCATTGACGATCATGTCCAAAGGAGTTAAAAATCATGTTTGAAGGAATTTTAGGAGATTATGCCCAAAGATCTTACAAATTAATCCTGATACTGAGAGATATCATATTTCAAATATTAGAAACTTACCTGACAAGCTTTTTCTCAAATTTGAAAATGTCTTCACATCTATCTTTTCTATGTGAGATTTTGGAACACCCTTGCTTCTTGAATTTATTCATTATATTTTCTTGAATGTAGTATATGCTATGCAATGCGTGTGAAATTCAATGCATGCTATGCAAATATTGGCTAATTATTCCTATTCAATTGTGGTACTCAAGTTTCTCAAGCTTTTTTCTTGAGTATTGAACCCTTTGTTCTTCAAAGACCAAGTCAGCGTAACTCTTAATCATCTCTTTTATTTAATTATAGTATCCTTTCTACAGGTAATCTCTTTCCAAATTCAATGTCTTTATTAGGAATTGAACTTCTCAAATTGCTTTTATCACTCATAACCATTCCAATGTAATGTAGAAATCTTTCATGCCATTATTCATTTATCAATAATTATTTCAAACTCAAAAAGTAAGAATGCATTTGCACATTTCTTCCATTGTAGGGTATTAAAAAGAAAAGAATAAGAATGGTTGAGAAACAGTCAACAGAAGAGGCACACAAAGAGTGAAATAGAATGTCTTTTATTAGTAAAATATTGGTAAACTTTGGCTAAGAAAGAATTACAAGGATAAGTATGGAGAGACAAAGCTAAAAAATGAACAATCGGACAATCATGATAACACATCTCAAGGTTTTTTTGAAACCCAACCATCTGATGTATTCAACAACTTAGAGCTCATTCGAATTTGCTAGTCTCTATGTCAACGAATTTTCAAATTTGATGATGTATTCTCCTTATCTAAGCTGTCTTTTTAGGTTTTCAACTTAGATAAACCTCTTATGACTCAAACCGCCCTTTTAGGGTTTTTGTTTGAGTCATCCTTTTTCATTCACTTTTTTTCTTTTCATTTTTTTTTCATGTTTTCATTTCATTTTTTTCTCTTTTTTTAAGCATAGTATTTTTTCACAGCATCAAAATTTATAGGATAGAGTAAATCATTTCCATCCATCTCAATCAATATCAGTGCTCCACCCGAGAAAACTTGTTTCACCACATACAACCCTTTCCAATTTAGAGTTCATTTTCATTTATTATCGTGCTGGGTTGAGAGGATTCTCATCAAGACCAACTCTCATTCTCGAAAGCAATAAGGTCGAATCTTTTTGTCATGAGCCCTCATCATTTTTTTTTTATATAGCTGATCATGGCACAATGCAGTCAATCTCTTTTTTTTATGAAATTTAACTGTTCATAGCATTCTCTAATCCATTCAGCTTCTTCCAATCTAACTTCTTTTAAAACCCTCAAGGATGGGATCTCCATTTCTACTGGTAGTATAGCTTTCATCTCATAAACTAAAAAAATAAGATTACCCCAGTAGAGGTGCACACTGACGTTTGATATGCATGCAGTGCAAATGGTAACTTTTCATGCCAATTTTTATAAGTCTCGATCATCTTTTCAAGAATTCTTTTTATGTTCTTGTTGGCTACCTCAACTATCCCATTCATTTTTAATGGTATGGTGTCGAGTTATGATGCTTGATCTTGTATTGAGTACATATTTCTTGCATCATCTTACTATTTAGATTCTTGGCATTATCTGAAATAATTCTCTCTGAAAGTTTATATCTACAGATGATCTCTCTCTTTATGAACTTGCAAACCACAGATCATGTTACATTTACATATGATGTTGCCTTTACCCATTTTGTAAAGTAATCTATCATCACAAAAATAAATCTATACCCATTAGAAGCCTTTGGGGTGATAAGACCAATGACATCCATGCCCCACATTAGGAATGGCCAAGGTGGTGCCAAAATATGTAAAACAAATGGTGAAACATGGATCTTATCAGCATATATCTGACATTTATGGCATTTACGAGTATAGTCAATGCAATCATTCTCCATTGTCAACTAGTAGTATCCTGCTCTCAAGATTTGTCTCATCATCATATGTCCACTAGTATGTGCCTCATATATTCCATCATGTACCTCTTTAATGATTTTTCTTGCTTCAACCTTACTTATGCATCTTAGTAATACTTGATCACGACTTCTTTTGTACAGAATATCTCCATTCAAAAAAAAGCTCATAGTTAATCTTTGATGACCTTTTTATCATTCTCTGTTACTTAAACTGGGTATTGTTGATCTTTAATATACTGTAAGATATCATAATACTAAGGTTTTTCATCTTTCTCTTTTTCTACATTGGAGCAAT